GACTGGCTGAATGCAATGAAGCGCTGGACCAGGCAATGGAACATTGCCATAAATTGCAGCAAGTCGGCTTGCGTCACTTTTTCCCTAAGACTCGTGATCGACATCGTACATACGTTCAATGGTGACGCTATTAATAACGCCACCTCTCACTGCTACTTAGGTGTACACCTAGATCACAGGCTCATATGGAACACCCACATCACGGCGATCAAAGCCAAATGTGTTCGCAAACTACAAAAGCTCGACTGGCTCCTGGGATCCAAAAGCCTCCAGCTTTCGACGAAAGTTTTGCTGCTCAAAGTAATCCTCACGCCAACCTGGACGTATGCGATCGAGGTATGGGGCACCGCATCCAAGCACCAGCTAAACAGGCTGAGGGTAGTGCAGGCACGTGCTGCTCGACGGGCATCCGGACTTCCCTGGTATGTGACAAACCAGGCCATCCAAAAAGACCTACGCCTTGTCCCGGTGGGCGACCTCCTAAACCAACACAGCCGACGGTACTCGGACAGGCTAACGAGTCACCCAAATCCACTGGCTAGCAGGCTGGCCGACCCGCAAACTCTTAGGCGCTTAAAGAGATTTCACCCCAGCGATCTGTCTTCCCGTGTTGTTCAATAATATTGTAAACTAATGTAAATAACTGTAAATTATTGTATAAAGTCTAGGCCCATATCCCATATGTACCATATTCACCCTACCTTCTAAGCACCCGGTTATGTTCAAATGGTTTTGAACGATTCCGGCGACTAAAATAAAATTTAACTTGTTTAAAAAAAAAGCAGCAGAACTCCCCCTGCCTATAGAATGAAATTTGCTACAGCTAAGGAATTGGCTAAAATTTTAATTTTTAAATTTTAAATCTTAATCTCCCAGCTGCTTTACTACTTTACTACCACTTCGCCGCCAAAAACACTAGTTATATCAAAACATACTTAGAATTTAAAGACATTTTTGATTCTTTAACCTATGTAGATTGTTCATTTTCTAAGCCTCGGTTTTTAACAGTTGATTCTATTTTTTTTAAGGGTTCTTGCCATAACAAGAAATTTAGCAGCCCGTGGTGGACATTCTATTTAGAGAAAAACATAGTTTATTAACTAGCCAAATTTCGAAATAATTTACACGGATGGCTCTATTAGAGATAATTTCACTAGGTGTTCCTTTTATCATGTCAATAGTAACCCAACTAAAAGCTTTTATATGAATAAGAAGTTCTCTTCACTTATTGCAGAGCTTACAGCCTTAGAGAAAGCCATTGAATTTGCAATTGACCAACATATTACAAGGGTAGCTATCCTAACGGATAGTTTGGGTGCTATTCAAGCACTTCAAAAGCAGAATTCTTTTAATCGCATTGTGGCTGAAATACTCAAAAAAATTTATAACAATATATTGGTTATTCAACTACATCATATTCCGAGCCATTCGAATATCAAAGGAAATGAAGTTGCTGACTCTGCTGCAAAAAACGCCAATACCTTGGGGTCCTATATAAATATCAGATACACGATCAATGATGCTATCACTCACATCTTCAACAGAATTAAAACTGATTGGGAGCGCGACTATAATTCTTTTTGCATAGAAAGGAATAAAGGATACTGTCTTCTATATCCATATACCTTACCCAAACCTTGGTTCCAATCGGAAAACTGCAATCTTAATAGATTGCAGATCAAACAAATTAATAGAATCCTCAGCGGTCATTCTTTTGATAAATAAACCCTATACAAACTAAAAAGTCCATGACAGTCCCAACTGCGATTGCAAATTCAATACAATAGAAGATATTTCACACATCATTTTAAATTGTTCCAAATACGATAATATTCGCAGGAACTTCCCGCTCCTTCTAAAATACGATAACATTTATTGATTTTTTCTCAAGAATCAGTTGAAAATTACAGCTCAATAACTTCATTAAACTGGCTAATATAGATTTATAAGGCGCCTTTTAACTTTTTTATGTCACTGGAGATAATTAATACTATTAACTATGGATAACTATTAACAACCAGCATGTGCATGTATTAACACGGTCACTTTAAATAGTTGACTATCGCATCTATATTCATTATCGTTTATTTCCCATCCACATCATCAAGCCTCAAGTCATATTAATATAAATAATTTTTTCGCATTGTCATAACAAGGAAAGGAATTCTTCCCCCTCTACTGAGCTGGGAAGTAACTTAATTTACAAAAAAAAAAAAAAAAAAAAAAAAAAAGTCACAACGCCCCTTCAAGGTTGAGCTCCATCCAGAAAGCAGGTCGCTGAAGAAGATCGAAGTCCACCCAATCTACACGCTGCAATATTTTGCATCGGATAATCACTGTTGAAGAAGCAACGGTCCAGTGCAATGCCAAGAATAGACTAATGACTAATTGCCAAGAATAGTGTGTAGTTTAGTCTGCAGGGACGCCCAAAACTCCGTTTACTGCCCTACAAACAAGGGCAGTACCGTGAAGAAATGTGGAAATTGCGGAGGCAACCCTACCGCAAACTATAGAGGATGTGTGGTGTACAAGGAGTTGAAGAGTCGCATTGGACAAGCGGCCTAACTTACAAAGCGCTCAACAGCTACATAGGCTTCAGAACATGGTAATACAGCAGCTCGTAGCACAACAGTCCAAATAATCTATGCAGGATCTACGAATATCAATGTGGAACGTCAATGGTGTCTCACGACATAAACTAGAATTGTCATAATTCTTGACCGAAAACCATGTTGACGTTATGGTACTGGTAAAAACGCATCTTACAAGTAAATACAACTTTCAAATAAGAGGCTATACAATCTACCGCACAGATCATCCGAATGGGAAAGCCACAGCGGAACAGGAGTTCTAATCAGAGAATGGATCAAACACAGTTTTCACCAAAGGTTTGCAACAAACTTCTTACAGGCCGCATCGATACAAATTCAGTCATGTAACGGAAGCTTTTTCCGTTAGCATGCCCTCCGCTTTTACTAAACCGTATGCAGATCCCTCAAGCTAACGGAGTTAGCACCAGTAACCTGGCGTAAGCACATCGAATGCAAGATGCACCTAAAACTGAGAGCCAGCAGCCTCCACTGGATCACAAACTAACGATCGCCACTGTGCCTGGACTACAAGTTACCATTCTACAATTAAGTCCTAAAGCCAATCTGGACGTTGCTGTGGGGGGCACCTTGTTCCAGAGAACGGCATGCACTTGCACAATGAGTACACACGAAAAACACCGAGTATTTTAGACACCCGAGTGTTTTTCGTGCACGAAGTTTTGGGTATAAGTAGTTACAATGCAAGAAAGTTAGGGTGTCTGGAAGTTTTTCGTTAAAACCGGATATATATCGCAAACATCGGATATAGTTGGTCGATCCTTATGATTACAACATAATAAAATCAATTAATTACAATTAAAGATCTAAAAAAAAAGTCCCAAGCTTCTATCTTCAAAAATACGAAAGTTGTTATTTCTACCAAATACCATTTCCTATCGTTCAGTTATATGGCAGCTATAAAATATAGTCGGACGATCATTATGAAATTCGGATCAATTAACCAAAAATAGAATCTATATAAAGTTCCTACTTTCCATCTTCAAAAAAACGAAATTTGGGTCATTTCCCATTGTTCAGTAATATTGCAGCTTTAGGATATATGTAGTTAACCGAAATATTTATGAAATCTGATATGTCGTATTATTTTGCCAAATATGGCACTCATGCAAAATTCGAATGAATAACAGGCTGCATGTGTCAATATCATTGTTTTGTTTACGACTCCTGGTTAAAAAACTATTAGCAACATGATTTTATGATGGTAAGTTTTCTTAAAATGGTACGAATTACTTCTCAGTGATTACTTCTCAGTGATCATACCAAAATAATAATAGACGGATATAAAAGAATAAAAAGTCCCAAACTTCTATCTTTAACAATACCAAAGTTGGTATTTCTACCAAAAACCATTTCCGATCGTTCAGTTATATGACATCTATAAGATATAGTCGGCCGATCGTTATGAAATTCGGTAGGTCGGATCAACTGACCAAAAATATAATCTGTACCAAGTTCCAGCTTTCTATCTTCAAAAACACGAAAATTGGGTAATTTCCGATCGTTCAGTTGAATGGCAGCTATAGGATATAGTCGGCCGATCCTTATGAAATTGGGCATGTCGTATTATTTTGCCAAAAATAGCTCTCACCTAAAGTTTAAACTCTCTAACTCTAAAAACACCAAAGTTATACCATTTCCGATCAATCAGTTATATGGCAGCTATAGGATATAGTCGGCCGATCCGGGCCGTTCCTACTTATATACTGCGTGCAAAGGAAAGAAGGGTGTGTGCAAAGTTTCAAGACGATAGCTTTAAAACTGAGAGACTAGTTTGCGTAGAAACAGACAGACGGAGAGACAGACGAAAATGCTCATATCAACTCAGAAGGTGATCCTGATCAAGAATATATACTTTATAGGGTCGGAAATGTCTCATTGACAGCGTTGCACCCTTTGGACAAAATCATAATATATTTTTATATAAATATATAATATATAAAAACCTACACCTGCCTAGATCTCCAAATTCTTTGTTAAAGTTTGTCACAAGAAATTTATATTCTGGCTTGTTTGTGGGACCTAAAAAGCAATTATGGAAAAGTGGAAAAGTCCTCGCCCTCACAGCCCACAAAAAACAAGAAAATTTAATATTTCGCTCGTTTTTAAAAATAGACCTTTTAAATGAAGTCCCAAATAAATGAAATTTATGTCGGTTCCAGTGGGATGTAACGACTATTTTAGCGGGAGCAGGAGCGGGACTAGTCCGAGCGGGATGGAACGAAATCATCTTGTTTGATATATTTATGCAGATATAGTTTCAAAAGTTCCATAAAGATACCTAAGCAAAATAATTACATAGGATTTTATCAAATTGGATCTTTTATCAAATAATTTACGTACGGTAAAATTTAATCAAAATTATCATTTAATCAATTTTTAAATATGTACCTGGAAATAAAGAACAGTCTCGTATTGTAAACTGAATTTCAATGTATAGTCGATTTGCAGGACCCCGATCAATAAACGGTGACCAAAGCCAGTTGTTGACATTGTGGTATGCGACATCACAAACGACGTAGCTCCTCCAGTTAATGCCTTTTACGAAATCAGTAAATGACTCCTCAACCCACTAAAATTAAAAAAAAGGTTAATTATATTATCATTTGAATGCGTTTATTTTATTTTATAAATACAGTGGCGAGCCAAATTGAGTGCCTGTTTACGACTCAGACTTTCGTCACCCACAAAATCATAATCATACAAAAAATCTAAAAGTTTTTTTTATTTTTGTATATTGATTGTTTATTTCTTAACCCTTTCATGCTCAAATTAAACTGGGAACACATAGAAAATATTTAACGCTTTAGGGGGGACATCTGAGTAACATTTTTAAAAAACGGAAAAAGTTTCAGGGTCTTAAAAATAACATATCATAAGATAGAGTCCGTCAAAAGTGTCGAAATTTTCCATTCTTCGACGATGCCTCACAGTAAAGATGGGCACGGGCCAGACTCGGGCCTGACACCAAAAGCCCGAAAGGCCCGAAAAGCCTGATAAGCCCAAATTGTTTTTGTAATTACAGAGATAAATAGACAAAACTACCGATATTTTTTTACGATATTTTGAGTTATCGTGCCATAGGCCATATCAAAGATTATAAAGTACATAGATGGGACATCAGGGCCCAAAACGGTCAACTTTTTGCGTCGAGCTTGTTGGTGAGTGGGGAACGCACATGCATACGATTCTATTTTTAGAACTCTTTACATGTACCCGTCAACAAAAATGTGAACCTATGTGTGTATGTGTGACTGCTCGCACGACGGAGTAAAAATGTTTTGGCTTCCAAATTTCAATTTCAATTTCTCATTTCTGTTTTCGATGCGCCGATGTGGTAGTTGGTAGAAGAAATAGTATTTTTGATCGCCGCAGATCGAGACAGGATGGTAGCGTAGAGTATGCAATGCATAGAGTAGTAACTCTATGTTTAATTTTTCTGTGTTCAAATCCTCGTAAGGACTTTGAACTTTTTCTTTCTTTTATAATTATTATTTTTTTTTTTCTTTAATTGTAAAATTTTTCTTTAATTTTACAATTGTTAAATTGTTTAATTCTTCATTATAATAATAAATAAAATAATTAATAAAATAATAAAATAAATTCAAGGAATTTATTTATAAATTCAAGGAAGGCTAATAAAATTTCAAGGAAGTCCTTCCGGCATTTTGTCATCCGACACGTCCGTCACTTATTTTTACTTTAATTGTTATAGAATGCAATTAAAAATAATAATAATAACGTAAAAATTAAAAGTAAAAAAAAAAATAATAAAAAAATAAAAGTAAATATAACAAGAATCATAAAACTATAACTTTATCAAAATCGAAACAACCGCCCGCTAATGAAGTCGAACCCAGGACCCCGTGAATAAGAACCACGCACTATCCATCTAGTCCACCCTCGAAGTTGATTTTAAGATACTTAAAATTGGTGTTAAAGGAGGCGCGATAATCTATACCAAAAACAGAGTTGACGAGTAAGGATAGTAAAAGATATTTCTGATCTCTTTACTCTTACATTGGTTCGATTACAACGTTTCAAACTTTCATCGTTCCAAAGATGTTACGATCTAAAAATAGAATTCTCTCTCTCCCTATCTCATCTGCCAGCCGTTTGTCGTGGAACCCGCTCTCAAATGTTTTCATTATTACAGCGGGTTCCACGACGGAAAAAATGAAAAAATTTGAGAGCGGGTTCCATGACGCGGCCAAAATGCCGTAGAACCCGCACTTATAGACATTTTTACAGCGGGTTCCATTACGAACTGAGGCGATGTTAAGATGATTTTACAATTTTGTATTTTTTTTTCATTGGATTATAAATTTAGGAAAACACATTAAAATAATAAAACAATAATATAGATAGATTTAAAATGGAAAAAAAAGTGGTTGTCCCGAGCCTGACTTGAACTCGTTTTACTTTGTACACGAGCCAAGCACTCTACCACTCGGCTATTCCTCATTCGTTGCGCGAAAAATTTCTCAAACTTAACTTGTCGCGCAATGGAATCCGCTCGTTCCAGCGGGTTCCACTGCTGGAACCCGCCATAGAAAATTTTTCTTTGTATGAGATGTCCCATCTATGTACTGTATAATCTTTGGCCATATCTAGAATTGATCATTGCACAACTCTAATTTAGAGTTTGGACAAAAATGTCCAAATTAGCAATTAAAAAATGGAAAATTAAATTTATAAACAAGAAAAAAAAGCTAACTTCGGGCGGAGCCGAAGTTTATATACCCTTGCAGTTAAAACCGGATATATATCGCAAACATCGGATATAGTTGGCCGATCCTTATGGGAATAGGAATATATAATCCAATTTTTTACAATACAAAATCTAAAAAAAGTCCCAAACTTCTATCTTCAAAAATACGAAAGTTGATATTTCTACCAAAAACCATTTCCGATCGTTCAGTTATATGGCAGCTATAAGATATAGTCGGCCGATCGTTATGAAATTTGGTAGATCGGATTAACTGACCAAGAATATAATCTGTACCAAGTTCCAGCTTTCTATCTTTAAAACACGAAAGTTGGGTCATTTCCGATCGTTCAGTTATATGACAGCTCTAAGATATAGTCGGCCGATCCTTACGAAATTTGGCATGTCGTATTATTTTGCCAAAAATAGCGCTCGTGTAAAATTTGAACTCTCTAACTCTAAAAACACCGAAGTTATACCATTTCCGATCAATCAGTTATATGGCAGCTATAGGATATAGTTCCGACTTATATACTGCGTGCAAAGGAAAGAAGGGTGTGTGCAAAGTTTCAAGTCGATAGCTTTAAAACTGAGAGACTAGTTCGCGTAGAAACAGACAGACAGACGGACAGACGGACAGACGGACATGCTCATATCAACTCAGGAGGTGATCCTGATCAAGAATATATATACTTTATAGGGTCGGAGATGTCTCCTTCACTGCGTTGCACACTTTTGACCAAAATTATAATACCCTCTGCAAGGGTATAAAAACGAGTTTCGATTGTTTGTTGTAAAACCCTTAGTATAACAATTATGATGGATGAATATATGAAACTGAAAGAACAACTTATAAAAGAAATCGAAGAACACATGACATCACATGAGGAGAGAAGAGGAACTCAGAGAAGTTTTTTTTTCACTAAGCGCTCATTAGATAAATAAAGACTTTGAATTGAAAGTTAAACTTTTAGGTGTACAAGAGTTTTCAGAGTACAAAAAGACCGGTGAAAAAATTATAAACCAACTTAAGAGCATACTTGAGAAATTTAATATTTTAGATAAAATACATTCTTCTGTATTCGTTACGGATAAAGGCGCTAAAAGGCTTTCTTGTGCATGCCACAACTTAAACCTTATAATGGATGATGTTTTAGAAAAAAAAATTGCAGAAATCAGATCACTGATTGATTTTTTCCAGCTTGTTAAGTTCTTTAAACACTCTAACCTTGGTAGTAAGTTGACGAAAACACTAAAGCAGCACGTTAAAACAAGATGGACCAGTGTTTATAATGCTGAGTAGCATAAACTACGTGCAGAAATTAAACTTATTTTATTACAACGAAATGAATTTCATAGAATTGCCAACCTAGACTTCTCACTGTGAGAAGTGATAAAGAGCCAAAAATTCATATATGTATATCCTTTGTGGTTTGCAAAATTAATTCAACTTTGCTCATGTGCAAACATAGATTCTGCTATAATCAAAGAACTAAAAAATCAAACCTTACTTAGATTAGAGGAACGCTTCTTACCCTCCACAGCACATGTCGTTGGACTCTTTTTAAATCCTCCATTTAAGGAGATGCTTTCCTTTCAGAGGAGAAAAATGAAAATATGAGCAAAATTGAGAATCATTATAATTTAAACCCATCTGAAGCTTCCGTTCTTTTATTTTGGAAAAAAGCCAAAAATCTTCCACTTTCACAAGAATTGGCTAAAAACATGCTGTCGGTTCCAACAAGTTCTGCGACAAGCGAACGTCTTTTTCCACATCTGGGGGTATTCTCAATGAAAGAAGAACGCGGCACACAAACAAACACTTGGACATTTTAATTAAAAAAAAAAAATATATAGTAAGAAGTTCTTAATTAAGAATTACATAATTAAGAACAATTATGTATTTTTAAATTATTTTATTAAAAATATAAGCTGCCCATTAAAAAAATGAATTTTTCGTATTGTGTTAACAATCTTATCAAACTTTTTATTTAATTTTAATTTGTTTCAGAAATAAAATAAGAAATTTTATCGCGCCGGGCCTCAAAATTTAGGCCTGCGCCCATCTCTACCTCAAAGGTATATCCCACAGTACTTAAAACTTTAAAAGCGTTTTTCTCGAAACCACTTTTTTGAGACTGCCGGAAACATAACTCGAAAAAGAAAGAAAAGCTAACTTCGGGCGGAGCCGAAGTTGATATACCCTTGCAGTTAAAATCGGATATATATCGCAAACATCGGATATAGTTGGCCGATCCTTATGAGAATATCATAATAAAACCAATGAATTACAATAAAATATCTAAAAATAAATCCCAAGCTTCTATCTTCACAAATACCAAAGTTGGTACTTCTACCAAAAACCATTTCCGATCGTTCAGTTATATGGCAGCTATAAGATATAGTCGACCGATCCTTATAAAATTTGGCCTGTCGTATTATTTTGGCAAAAAAAAAAACTTTAAAAGGTCTGATTGGTATCCCTCACTGCGTTGCACACTTTTGACCAAAATTATATTACCCTCTGCAAGGGTATAACAAATCATAACCGATCGATTTTAAATTTTGACAGTATATTTAAAATACCTTTTTCTATCAACACACGTAGGATTTGTATACCCTTGCAGAGGGTATTATCCAAAAGTGGATACATTTAAATTTTTCATTTACAATTGGCAAATAAGAACCGAAAAATGAATTTCCAAAGTCGCTAAGTAGAAATTTTACTTAATTTCAACTTTATTGCACGTCTTTGCCAACTGATTTGTACCACAAATTCATGCTTTGAGGCTGAAGTCATATTCAAATCGAATGAAAGCACGAAATTAAAGCGTGAATTGGATATCGCATACAAATAGTGAAGATACAATTAGTGTCTTGATTGCCAGTAAGTGCTGGATATCTACCAGGTCGGGGAGTCTGAAAGAATCATTTAGACACAGCCGCTCGCAGTGAAAACTGCCTTTTACCTGGCCATTTAACTTTGAACCGTCTCTGTAAATATGAAGGGAACCGGCAGGTCCCGGAATTTGTGTGGCCCATTCCTCCCTCGTTGGAATGGATACCATATATTTATACCTCATATTTTTCCAAAAGTGCCCACGCTGTGACCACGATTGCACAAGAACTATTTCATCGATCTTCTTCATTTTTTTTTTTTTAATTATTCGTAATGATTGTGCCGAGTTCGTGAACGATTCTGTTTTCAGAGTTCGTGAACAGTTTTTTTGCGCCAATTTTGATTTCGCAGATAAGAATTTTTTTTTTTAAATTTTTAGAACTCGAAAAACGAATTTTTTCAAAAAATTGTTACTGTATGCAGAAAAAACCAAATATTCTTGAAAATAATCGTTCACGAACGGGAAATAATACTATACTAACACAAAATTTTTGGTTTTTTGATTTCGGTTGACCTGCGGACTTCCATCGTGGTCACCGCAAGCCGCTATAAAAAAAACAGGGTTCCGAGAGAATTGCCATAACTTCGTAAATTATTCATATTTTTTCAAGAACAAACGCTTATTGTTTCGATAAAAACATGTACTATCAATAAAAAATAACTTCAGTGTCATAAAATAATTGCTACACACCTGAAATAAAAATCCAAAGTTCCCTCAATTTTTTCGCTCAAAAAGGTATATAACCCCTTAAAAAAAGAAGTTTGGGACTTTTTATACCCTTGCAGAGGGTATTATAATTTTGTCCAAAAGTGTGCAACGCAGTGAAGGAGACATCTCCGACCCTAGAAAGTATATATATTCTTGATCAGGATCACCTCCTGAGTTGATATGAGCATGTCCGTCTGTCCGTCTGTCTGTCTGTCCGTTTCTACGCGAACTAGTCTCTCAGTTTTGACGCTGCCGTCTTGAAACTTTGCACACACCCTTCTTTCCTTTGCACGCAGTATATAAGTAGGAACGGCCCGGATCGGCCGACTATATCCTATAGCTGCCATATAACTGATTGATCGGAAATGGTATAACTTTGGTGTTTTTAGAGTTACAGAGTTCAAATTTGACACGAGAGCTATTTTTGGCAACACATTACGACATGCCAAATTTCATAAGGATCGGCCGACTATATCCTATAGCTGCCATATAACTGAACAATCGGCAATGACCAAACTTTCGTGTTTTTGAAGATAGAAAGCTGAAACTTGGTACAGATTATATTTTTGGCCAGTTGATCCAACCTACGAAATTTCATTAGGATCGGCCGACTATGTCCAATAGCTGCCATATAACTGAACGATCGGAAATGGTACTTGGTAAAAATATCAACTTTCTTATTTTTGAAGATAGAAGCTTGGGCCAAAAAAAATTCCAGAAAATCCGCTTTTTTTCGCCTGTTACTCAGATGTCCCCCCTTATTCCTAGCTGCATATAAACTTAATGAAAAGTACATTTTAAATAGTTTTAGGATTACTTACCCCGGGAGTTTGTGCTTGCGGGCCATATGGGTATCTAGTCCATTCTAGAGTAGCTTCTCGCGTCGTATCCAATAAAACAACTAGAATAATTAACAAACAATAAAATTCTTAGAATATTAAATGCAAAAATAATTTTTCATTTGATCATAAATCTGATCTGATCATTTTTATGCCCTTGCTGAGGGTATTATAATTTTGGTCAAAAGTGTGCAAAACGCAGTGAAGGAGACATCTCCGACCCTATAAAGTATATGTATTCTTGATCAGGATCACCTCCTGAGTTGATATGAGCATGTCCGTCTGTCTGTGCTGTCTAAGCATGTCAATCTAGTCTCTCAGTTTTGATGCTATCGTCTTGAAACTTTGCACACATCCTTATTTCTTGTGCACGTAGTATTTAAGTCGGAACGGTCGGGATCGGACGACTATATCTTATAGCTGCCATACAACTGATTTTTAGGAAATGTCATAATTTTGGAGTTTTTAGACTTAGTGTTTTTGGATGAATGTTTATGTTATGTTTAGTGTAATGTTTATTTATTAGGCGTAAGTTCGTTCAAAAGCAGGGACCGTAATCAATATAAGTAATATATTTAAAATTACTTTGTAATGATTTCTCAACGATTTTAAATTTTTTAAATCAAGACTAATAATTATTTTTGATCGAAAAAATAAAAATCACAAATAATCATTAAGCTTGAACAAAAAAAAATAAAACTCAAAAATAATGATTATTCGTGATATTTACTTTTTTTGATCAAAAATAAAACGAAATGCGCATTAGCGCATAAGTACAAAATAACGGCAAGCATCGCTTTTTTTTTTTATTTTGTGGAAAGAGCATACACAAGATTAAAGACAAAACTTCGATTATGCTTTACATCGCTGTTTGTTTACGCGTCTTCGGTGCACTGCTTACAAAAACAATTGTCCAGAAAGAACAGTTTGTTTTATTTTGTGCTACTCTTTCGCTTAAACGCAGCTGTGTTTGCTGGCTGACGAAATTTTTGCAAGCATTTGAGTTAAGAAGTGCAAATCGGATCAATCGATTATTAGGTGAGTGACTTAAAAAATAATATATGTTTGTATTATAAAATATGTTTATGTATATTTTATGTATAAATATGTATAAATATATTTTAGCCAATGAAGTGGTCTTGGCGTATAATGTGGATGGCGTTCAGGGGAAAGGTGCCCTAGGAAAAGAAGAAAATTTCTTTGGCGTTATAATCGGTGAATATTTTAAAAGATAATTGTTTAATAATCATTATACACTTCAATCTATTAAAACTTGTTTAATTCTTTTTATTTCTAGATTCAAAAACTGCAGTCGGCGGTATTGGCCCAGCTGAGGAACAATTGAGAAAGGCCCTGCAGCTCCAAAAAAAAAGAGATTTTAAAAACTCAAGCAGCCTAAAAGTAATGAAAGAACAAACCCCGTTATAAAAAAAAAATGTAATCTAAATAAAAACTGTAATTGCAATTGTACATGTTTTTTAATTTATAATGGCAGGCCCCTCCATGGGGTCCAATGTAAGTACTTACTTCACCGACCTCTTCATGGGGTCCGATGTAAGAACTTATTTTACCGGCCGTTCCATGGGGTCCCATGTAAGCACTTATTTTACCGGCCGTTCCATGGGGTCTAATGTAAGTAGTTCCTTTAAAGACCCTAATATGTTACACTATTTCACTAGTTCGTGGGTAATCGAGGAGGTGGCGATTGACCCTATTTGCGGACATTTCATAGAAAAACGGAAATAAAAAAACGCATGGCTAGACGCCACTTTGTAAGTAGCGGTGGTCTGCTGGTAAGTGCTTATTTCACCAGCAACGAACTAGTGCTCAGAACTGCAGGGATTGCTCAGATGTCCTTTGCTACCCTCTTACTATCTTATTCAATTTATTCTTGGAGCTTGCATGTCTTGCCAAGCGATGGAATAAATCTTTTATTATTCCGCTTCATAAGAAAGGCTCGAAAGCACGTAATGAGAACTGCCGGGGAATTGCTAAGCTATCTGCGATTCCAACTGCAACATTTTTGTAAAAGCATTATTTCCACTTCACAGCATGGTTTTGTCAAGCATCGCTCTACCACAACTAACCTTCTTGAATTCACTTCAATTATCCACAGAGGTTTTCTGAGCCGCGTACAAACTGATGTGGTATACACTGATTTTAGCAATGCGTTGGATTCTGTGAACCATTATCTTCTCCTTCATAAGCTGTATCTTATGGGGTTTTCTCCACAGCAGCGAGTTTTGTTTAAAAATATTACATCCCAGATTGTAAACGTTTCATCTGGTGTCCCACAAGGTAGTCACTTAGGACCTCTTCTGTTTGTTCTTTTTGTTAACGATTTACCTAGTGTTGTAAACTATGCCACTACATTTATGTGTGCTGATGATGTCAAGTTGCTTTTCTTTTTCTTTTTCTTCATAGACACATGCAATTAGACCTCAACGAAGTCGTCTTGTGGTGTTCAAACAATCGCATTTTACTTCACTGCTCAAAGTGTAAGGTTATGACGTTCAATCGCAGTGTGACTCACATTGACTCGTACTCACTTGGGAATAACGTCTTAGATCGTGTTTCCTTTATTAATGATCTTGGAGTCCTTTTTGACAATAAGTTGTTGTTCAATGAACATATATCACTAACAGTTAATAAAGCCAGAGCAGGGAGGGAGTTTTTGCAAGATCAAAAAAATTACCAAAATTCCAAATTTTCCATACATTCACCTAAAATTTTTTTATTTTTGTCCCTAATGAACATATATCATTGACAGTCAATAAAGTTAGTGTTGTGCTAGTTTTTATCAACCGTTAGTCAAATGAATTTGATGATCCTTTCACAACTAAAACTCTATATGTATCATTCGTCCTATCTTGGAATACAGTTCGTGCGTTTGGAGTCCGCAATACTTGGTTCATTAAAGAAGGATTGAATCTGTTCAAAAGCAGTTTCTGTTATTTTTTTATTTGCATTAAAAAGTTTAAACTGGGATACTGTCACTTGCCTTCCGTCGTATCGTTGACGGTTAAGTCTATTTAACCTACCTCCATTAAATAAGCGCCGTACTTGTGCTGGGGTTATGTAGAATATGTGCTTATGTGCATTCATGTGCTTATTCTTGGAGAGGTGGTCTCACAATTACTTCTTGAAAAATTATTGTTTTCTGTACCTAATTGACTAGATATTTAACTAGATACCTAATTAACTAGATACTTCCGACCCCTTTGGTTACCAATTTCTAGGTCTAATTTTGCAAAACACGATCCATTTCGCGTTATTTGTAAAAATTACAATTCGTTGTCCCATTTATTATCCCCGGAACTATCCCTAGATGTAAATAACTGAAAAATTATGGGATCCCTTTTAGCTTAATTATCCTTACTTTTAGTCATAATAATCTAGAATAACAAATCATCTATATATATAAAAGAACAACGTGTTTTATGTTACAACACTTATAAATCAAGAACGGAAGAACAGATTTGAGTGAAAATTGGTAGGGAGGTAGCTTAGAGGCAGGAGAAGGACATAGGATACTTTTTGTCCCGTTCGACAGCGTTCCTCCCTGGCCCATACTTTTTTATTTAGGCAGACAGCTAAGAAGAAAATGTCAAATGTCAAAATGTCAGTTACAAACGAAGTCAAATTCAGTCAGGCTCTCAAATTTAACAACGAACCAAAAAGATTGTGTTGCGCTTCCGGGAAAGTGAAATTGCCTCAACTTGAAGCACCACTAGAGCCTCTGCACTCTCTATTGATATTTGTAAGAAATCAATATTAAAACTATTTCTATTAAATAAATAATTAACAAGTGGATTGAAGTGAAGTGAAGTTTAATTAATAATGCCGCGACCAAGACGATCGAATCTTTCCCGACAAAGCCGTAATGCAAGAAGAATACAAAATACTGCATATGAAAGGACTGAAGAAGAACGAGAAATTGCACGTGAACAGAGCCGCAATAGTAAGGCTCGACTTCGTGCTTCTCAAATAGATTTTAATTTGCGACGAAAAATTTTAGCTGATTTGAATCGAGCTGCGTTTCGATACGATTGCAGCAATGATTACAGCTTGCATCCTAGCGTTTGCATTGGGCAAATGGACGTTGTTTGCGAGTATTGTGGTGCATTAAAGTTTTCCGGAGAAACGCCTGGATTATGCTGCGTTAATGATAAAGTGAAGTTGCCAGTAATTCCAAGATCTGCGGCTGCCGACGAAATAAACGCTTGCCTCAAATCGTCAAATCTATGGCGCTATGTGAAGAAACTGCAGCTGATAACAAACATGAGAGTTACATTGCTTAATGATACATCTGCTGAAGATTTCTCGGAGCAATTTCTGACTATCGGTAATGGTCAAGTACCTGTCGATGAATCGAGCGGATTAATATCATTTCCAAATAATTTTTGTAATTTTGTCTCATCAAAAGACGAACTTATCAACAATGTATTTCCAAATATTATTTCTAACTACAAAAATAATGAATGGTTGAGTGAGCGAGCAATTTTAGCGGCTAAGAATAAAGATGTAGATGACCTGAACTACCAGGTGTACCGGAAAGTCCTTGCCGGTTTTATTCGGAAAGAAACTCGTTAATTGTTAGAATATGGTAAAAAATATTTTATTCAAAGTATTGCCCATCGCTAGCCACACATCGATGAAAACAAGTAGTAATCGGAAGGCGCCACGTCTGGTGAGTAAGGCGGGTGGGCTAGGATCTCCCAGTTTACTGTGTCCAAGTAGTTACGAACCAATAATGCGGCGATTCCGCCTCGGTCAATTCATGCGGCACTCATTTACCCGACTTCTGGATCTTTCCCATCGCACGCAGACGGTCGCTGATGCTTTGTTGGGATGAATTAAGTTGCTCTGCCATCATTTTTTGTGTTTGCGTATCATCCTCGTCCAAAAGCGCTTGCAAGTCGGTGTCTTCAAACGTCTGCGGCCGTCCAGAGCGTTTTGCATCGTCAGTAGAGAAATCACCATTTTTGAAGCGACGATACCACGTTTCCACAATGCGGATAGCTAGACCACAGTCACCGTATATCTCGTGAAGAATTCTGTG